TGCAGGGTTTAATACTCAATTTAGATTTTTTGTGAAATCACATTTTTTTTGCGAGGTCGTTCACATTTCCAGTTAAATGTGACTTGTGTGTGATTCCAGTGTGAACTATAAACACCCCCAAAATGTCCCACATGTGACACTGGAGACATGAGAAACCTAAACATGGACGCAGCATCGAGCACTTGGAGATTTTAAAGCTGCTGTCGAACCGGAGCCAGAACATGAACAGATGATTTGTTTTAAGGAGGAGATTGAGGTTTTTGGCCGTGGAGTTTTGTAGAAATGACCGTGTGTGTGCAGAGTCGCAGAGTGGAGGGATGGATCTGCGCTTCACTGCTTCACTCACACAGAGTCACACACAATTTTCATCTGAGGAGAAGAACGTTTGTGAACATTTGTGAGCACCGACTCACAAATGGAAGAAACACGTCTTTGGCGGCCTGTTTCAGTGAGCAAACGCATCGGTGTTGGGCTTTATCGGCTCGCACAGATGATTGTTAGTGCACAATAGTCGGTCAGGTGGGATGAATGTGACCTGACCGTTCAGACTGAAGTCACATGTCAAAAGATCAGATATGTTTCAGTTTCAGGAGCACAGATCCAAGTGTCCTGGGTCACATTTGAAAAAAATCAGATCTGTGTGGTTCAGACTGACATTAAAAGATCAGATACAGGAACATAGGGACGAAAAATCAGATTTGGGTCACTTCAGGTGCAGACTGAACGTCACCTGTCTGTCTGTGTGTCTAGGAACAGGGAGTTCACTACTTATTTAGAATTTATTATTACCATTTATATACAGAGCAGCTTCAAGGTCCTAAAAGTCTTAAAAATGTCTTAAATTCTATGTGTCTAAATTAAGACCTTAAAAAGTCTTAAATTCTGTTGTCCAAGTCTTTTTTTTTTTTTTTACAAAGGTCTGTTTTTTTGTTTCCTCCCCCGGGCTGCAGTGTGACGTTAAACGGAGGGAGGAAAAAACAAAAACAACGTGAAATCACATGACATGAATGAAGGTCTAATCTGGAGTACGCAACAATACTTTGGTTTTTGGTGTCGGTGGTGATGAGTAAACGATCAGGAGAGTGGAGGGAGACGCTGGGTGGATCATGAGGAAGTGTTGGTTTAATCCACAGTGGCTCTTAGATTCTAGATAAAGTTCTGGAGTTGGCTGGTCTTTATTAGAATCGGCTTTGGTGTTTTTCGCCTGCTAAATGGGTGTGATGTTGGTCTTCATTTTCATTTAAGTCTTAAAACGGTCTTTAAAAAGTCTTACATTTAGGCTAGTCAAAGCCCCAGGGTTTCACAAAAGTTCAGTGTCTCGTGACTCCAGATTCTCCTTCAGCCCGGTGAGGTTCTTCTGGTGACTGAGGCTGGTCACACCGGCTCGTCAAAGCCTGATCCCGTCACATCTCAGAGGCTCAGCAGGGTTAGTCTGGTTAGTATCTGGATGGAGACACTGGGAAAATCACAGGAGGCACCAGTCACAAAACTGTTGTTGTGTCCTTAGGCAAGACACTTCACCCACACTGCCTAGTGTAAAAGTGGTGTGAGTGATGGTGGTGGTCGGAAGGACCAGTGACGCAGATTGGCAGCCTCGCTTCTGTCAGTCTGTCCCAGGGCAGCTGTGGCTTCAGTAGCAGTTTACACCACTGAGTGTCAAGTGAATAATGAAATGTAAAGTGTGTTTGAGTGTCCAAAAAAACACTATATAAAACTGATGCATTATTATTATTATTATTATTATTATTATTATTATTATTATTTTATTATTATTATTATTATTATTATTATTATTATATATTATTATTATTATTTTATTATTTTATGTGCCGACCGAGCATGTGTTTTGTCCCGCGGGCACACACACCGACACACATGAGCGCACACGGAGCGCGGACTCGTGTATCACGTGATCGCTTTGACCAATCAGAGCGAGAGGAGCAGAGCGGAGCCGAACCGAACGATTATGAAACGTTTCTTAAGACGACTGAAGGGTTTTAAGCTGAGAAAAAGTTTACGATCGAAAAATAAGTAAAATTTGCCACAGTTTGTGTTTCCATTGCCTCGATGAGAAAAACCCTCCAGAGAGTCACTACGTCAACACCCTGTCAGTTATTTTAATAGATCCATGAGACACCTTGATATATATATTTTTGCTTTTCTCTTTGTTATTTTATCATGTGTGAGCTCGTGTCTTGTGTCTAAGTGTAAGTGACACAGAGCGCAGGATCCACACCGACTCTGCAGCTGATCTGGACTCTGTAATTATCTGTAATTACGACGCGTTCAGACTCCAGTGTCGGTGACGTTCGGCTCTGAGCTGGAGGAGATTAGGATCCTCGTCAGCGCCTCATCCAGAGCCCGGTCCCTTTGTTGTGTCTGTGCTGTGGGAATTCGCTCCCAAACGAGTGTAAGAAAACAAAAGTCCAAGTGTAATTAAGAGAATGAGTCACTCTGGGTCGATGTATAAATAGTCTCCGGGTGAGAAGAAGTGAGAACAACAGAACCACATCTTTATTTACTGTACGTGCGCTCAGCTGGTCCCAGGACTTCAAACTCGACCCGGTGCTGTTTCTGACACCGGGTCTGCGTCTGTAATCAATACACCAGCGTAAACACATGAGATCGGACACAAACGAGCCTTTCTGTTTGGCTCTATTTAGGTTTCATTTCCAGCTCCGAGTCCTGTGAGTCATTATAAGACGAGGCGCAGCTCAGTAAAGTGAACGCGGGGCCGATTTTCAGAGGCATATTTCAGATAAAACCACGGGAAAAACAGAACCAAAAGCTCGTCCAGAGTCGTTCCTCACGTCCTTTATGCCTCCAGAACGTCCTCATTATTCACCACGATCAGTTTATAAGAACTTTTCACAAACAAGTCCTGGTTTAGTCCTGGCTTAGTCCTGGTTTAGTGCCATTTTAGTCTTGGTTCACTCCTGGTTTCAGTCCTGGTTTAGTCTTGGTTTAGTCCTGGTTTAGTCCTGGTTTAGTCTTGATTCAGTCCTGGTTCAGTCCTGGTTCAGTCCTGGTTTAGTCTTGGTTCAGTCCTGGTTTGAGTCAGTCCTGGTTTAGTCCTGGTTCAGTCCTGGTTTAGTCCTGGTTCAGTCCTGGTTTAGTCCTTGGTTCAGTCCTGGTTTAGTCCTGGTTCAGTCCTGGTTTAGTCTGGTTTAGTCTGGTTAGTCCTGGTTCAGTCCTGGTTTAGTCCTGGTTCAGTCCTGGTTTAGTCCTGGTTTAGTTCTGGAACAATAACAAACAAAAACTAACACGTCCTGATTATCAGTCAATTAAATGTTGTAAAAACAGTGGAACAGTGAACTTATTCTGACCTCAGGAGCTGTTTTTACAATTTCCTTCAAACCTGTTCTACAAAATCCACATTTCAGAGTTTTTCCTTCACTCTCGAAGTTTATTTGGAGTGATTCATGTTTGAGGAATCTTTAATCGTTTATTTCCAGTCTGATGTTCTTCATGGGTGAGACTCGTAGGTTTGGGCAGCGTCTCCGTGTTGTTTTGGTCCAAATGTTTAAAAAAATGCTCTGGTCTAGTGCGATGTACAACAGGACAAGAGGTTCAGTCCTGGTTTAGTCCACGTTGAGTTCTGGTTTAATCCTGTTTTAGTCCTGGTTTAGTCCTGGCCTAGTCCTGGGATCCGTCCTGGGATCAGTCCCGGTTCAGTCCTGGTTTAGTCCTGGTTTAGTCCTGGTTTAGTCAGTCCTGGTTTAGTCCTGGTTTAGTCAGTCCTGGTTTAGTCCTGGTTTAGTCAGTCCTGGTTTAGTCCTGGTTTAGTCCTGGTTTTGTCCTGGTTTAGTCCTGGTTTAGTCCCGGTTTAGTAGTCCTGGTTTAGTCCTGGTTCAGTCCTGGTTCAGTCCTGGTTCAGTCCTGGTTTAGTCCTGGTTCAGTCCTGGTTCAGTCCTGGTTCAGTCCTTTAGTCTTGGTTTTAGTCCTGGTTTAGTCCTGGTTCAGTCCTGGTTTAGTCCTGGTTTAGTCCTGGTTTTGTCCTGGTTCAGTCCTGGTTAGTCCTGGTTCAGTCCTGGTCAGTCCTGGTTCAGTCCTGGTTAGTCCTGGTTTCAGTCCTGGTTTAGTCCTGGTTCAGTCCTGGTTTAGTCCTGTTCAGTCCCGTTCAGTCCTGGTTCAGTCCTGGTTCAGTCCTGGTTTAGTCCTGTTTAGTCCTGGTTCAGTCCTGGTTCAGTCCTGGTTTCCTGTTCAGTCCTGGTTCAGTCCTGGTTCAGTCCCGTTGGTTTTGTCCTGGTTCAGTCCCGGTTTAGTCCCGGTTTAGTCCCGGTTCAGTCCTTCAGTCCTTCAGTCCTGGTTTAGTCCTGGTTCAGTCCTGGTTTCAGTCCTGGTTCAGTCCTGGTTTCCTGGTTCAGTCCTGGTTTAGTCCTGGTTCAGTCCTGGTTCAGTCCTGGTTGTCCTGGTTTAGTCCGGTTCAGTCCTGGTTCAGTCCTGGTTTAGTCCTGGTTCAGTCCTGGTTCAGTCCTGGTTTGTCCTGGTTCAGTCCTGGTTTAGTCCTGGTTCAGTCCCGGTTCAGTCCTGTTCAGTCCTGGTTCAGTCCTGGTTTTGTCCTGGTTCAGTCCCGGTTTAGTCCTGGTTTAGTCCTGGTTCAGTCCTGGTTCAGTCCTGGTTCAGTCCCCGTTCAGTCTTGGTTTAGTCCTGGTTCAGTCCTGGTTCAGTAGGTTCGATGTTTCTTGTGTCTGTGAGGTGATGTTGTGTTTTTGTCGAGTTTGTGAGTTTGTAATCGAACATTTTAGTGAAAATATCAAACTGAGAGATTTGGATTTTGTTACGTCTCTAATCGTGAACCTCCCCAACAGATCGTCAACTTTCCCACGATGTCACAGTAAATATCGTCCCGTGAGGTTCATACCGTGAAAATATCGCATCGTGAGACTTGGATATCGATACCATCCAACGACACACTTCAGATCCATGTGAGAAAAAGATCAGTCTGACTCCGGTCTCACCTGTCCCCTCCCCCTTTTTCTCTCCCTCTCTGTCTCCAGGTGTTGCGTGGGGCTCAGCTGATCGCGTTGGCCTCGGCCGACGGCAGCGCCACCGCCGTGGAAGGTGCGACCCTGCCCCCGGACATCCAGGTGCAGTACGTCCAGCTCGCGCCCGTCACCGAGCACGCCGCCGCCGTCCAGGTAAAAACACCCTCTCGTTTTCATACAACTGTACCTGAACTTCCTCTTGACTTTAAAAACCGTGTGCATTGTGTCTCCGTGGTAACTGCTGAACATTCTGCCATACACATATAGACCCTCCTCCCCCTTGTGATGTCACTGCAGAGTCTTTTTTACCCTTATTTCTTGAGTCTTGGCGCAGGTTTTTTGGTTTGAAAGACTCACACCTACAAAAATATGAACAGATTACAACTTTATTTGTGGAAGTGTTTCATCCTGGAGAGAGTTCTGCCCGCGGCGCTGTCGGGTTTTTGGCAGCGGAGACGGTTCTTGCTTTCGTTTTTTTGGATCAGAAATTTGCTCCAGATTCTCCAAAATGGTAAAATGTTCAATCAAATCCATGTGTGAACTAAAATAACCGTGGTGAAGGGGACGTGTGGGAACCTCTCAGGCTGGAAATCAAGAGTCCGACCTCGTTAGAGTCTCAACTCATTTAGACTACGGCGAAAGATTCATCAAATTTATTTTCTCGTATTATATTTCGATCAGGATTTTTTTTTTCTTTGAGTTTTTTTTTTTTCAGAACAGAAAGACTTTCAGTTTCTCTGTGTTCTGTTGAGTGTCGGTAGTGGATAAATCCAAGTCCGTTTTCCCGACATTCGTTATAAATTCGTTCCATTGCGACGGTCGAGGAAAATATGGAGCCCGAGAAAGTTTAAAGTAACGTCAGGTTTTGGTCAGGTACGTTCAGGTCTGGCGGTTTGAATTTTACATGTCCAGAAAAAAAAAAAAAAGTGTTACTGTTAAATGACGTGAAAGAAAATCTAAATGTCACTACAACATTTTTAGAGACACTTTATTTACACAAACACATCAAAATTACAAAAAGAAATTCTCTCCGTTTGCTGTGGCGACGACGTTTTTGCTGTGACATAAACCTGGTAGCCGCGGGGTCTTAAAAGTCTTAAATTCTGTTGTCCAAGAAAAATAGCAACAATGTGAAACCACATAATGTGAATGAACGTCTAATTTGGAGTTTGCAACAATACTCTGGTTTCTGGTGCCGGCAGCAAGACAAGTTTATTTGTACAGCACAATTCGTACACAAAGTAATTCAAAGTGCTTTACAGAATAAGAAATACATTAAAATCATAATAAAAACTAATCAAAACATAAATAATCATGAAGATTAAAATTTAAAACGAGAGACATAAATTGGAGAGAAGAGTGCGGAATGAAAACCTTTCAGTTATTTGCACAGTTAAACAGAAATGTTTAGAGTCTGGATTTAAACAGCGTCACAGAAGAGTCTGTCTCACATGTTCAGACTGTTCCAGGTTTTAGCTGCATGAACCTGAAACTCTGACTCCCCTTGTTTAGTCGTGACTCTGGGCAGCAGCAGGAGTTGGTCCCTGAGCTCCTCAGAGTGTGAGATGTTCATATGACACTAACATGTCACAGATGGACTTTGGTGCTCGGACATGGAGACACTTGTACAAACAGAGCTGCTTTAAAGTCTCTGAGCCACAGGAGCCAGAGCAGAGACCTGAGACCAGGACTTATGTGCTCGTACTTCCTAGTTCGAGTCAGGACCCGAGCTGCAGCGTTCTGGATGTTCTGCAGCGTGTCACAGCTCGTTTGGAGAGACCAGTGAGCAGACCGCGTAAAGAATCACTACAGTGGAGGAAGACGTTGGATGGATCATGGGGAAGTGTTGGTTTAATCCAGGCTGGTCATTATTAGAATTGGATCTGGTGTTTTTCGCCCACATAATGGGTGTGATGTTGGTCTTCATTTTCATTTAAGTGGTCTTAAAAAGGTCTTTAAAAAGTCTTAAATTTGGGGTCTTCAATCCTGGGGACACATAAATCCAACAGACTCAGTCTGCGCTGAACTCGCCCCAGTTTGTGTTTCAGAACTCTCAGTTGATTGGTCGTTCCATTGCACTTTCTTGAGGTGGAGGTTGGTTTTCTCAAGAGAACGCAGCATCAGGGCTGTGTGATATGGGAAAAAAGAATCATGTTTTTTTTTCCTTCATATTGATCAGTCTTCCATCTTATTAAAAACACAAACACGCTGACTTCAGGCATAAAGAGCAGAGTGTCACGGTCACTACAGATTTTTGTTTTGTGTTGATAAGATCAAGAATTCCAGCAATTTGGAATGAGTTTGTACAATATATTAAACTTAAAAGCATATGCCTGTTACAGTTAACGACAGAAACTACCACTGTCACAAAACATGCGTGATGTTTGTGCTCTCAGTGAGGTTTTATGTTTCACTTATAAATGTTGAGAAAACAGTTGTTTACTTTTCATAACTTGGATTATAAAGTTGAGAAGCACTTTTAGTCAAATTGTGTAGATTTAAGTCCAAACCTGTGAACCTGTGAGGAGACAAAGACGTCTGTGGCTCAGGTGTTTTTCCTAAATAAGAGAGTAAGAGAGTGTGAAGAATCCCTCAGTCGTCCAGGTAGAATCCATGAGGAGAAAATTCAGTTTGTCGACTGGACAAAAGTGAGTTTGGTTGAAGACGTTTCTCTGCTCGTCCAAGCTGCTTCTTGAGTTCTCTCAGCCTCTGGTGACACTTCCTTATATCTGCAGGAGGAGCTAACTACACTGAAACTACTCTGAAACTAACACACACACTTGTTTACAGTTTGTGTTTGTTAGTTCGGCCTGTTGACCTGTACAGGGTGTGGGGGTCTAATTATCAGAACAATTCATGTCCATAATGGAGCTTCCACACCTCTGGACCTGACCTGACTACTGTTGTTAGTGTGTGTTAGTTTCAGTGTAGTTAGCTCCTCCCTGCAGATATAAGGAAGTGTCACCAGCGTCTGACCAGAACTGAAGAAGCAGAAACTAACTTGTCCAATCGACAAACTGAATTTTCTCCTCAGAGTAAGAGTAAATCCTCGTCAGCTCCTCGCGCTCTCACTGACACAGGATCGACTGGAGACTTTTCGATTAAAATGCACTCGCCTTTTTATCGAGACAGATGCAAGTAAAGATCGAGATCTTTTGATTTCTGGCACAGCCTTACCTTCAAGATTAATGTACACATGTAAACATTAAACAAAAGTGACTCTTGTGAGGTTCAGCCCACGTTAGAATGTTCCTCCTCAGAAACACACCTGCAGTCTGGGGCCATTAAGGAGCAATGTGTCACATGCAGGGGCCAAGTACAGGAACATCCAAGCACACAAAAGATTCATTCAGTACGGCGCAAATACAAACAGACTATAAAAAATAAAATAAAATCCCTCCACTTGTCTGTTTCTTCTCCCATTAAGTTGTATTGACACATTAGATCTACTGCCTCCAGGAGTTGGGGGTGAAACTGCATCAGCGAAACCAACCCAGACCTGGAGTTGTGTTTGTTTCATTCACACACGTTTGAGTAACTTTTTATTATGAGTCTGTGACATCTCCAAACCTCCAAACGCTCTGCTCCACCTCGTGATGTCATGAAGTGGTAGATTTCAAGTGAACAGCTCCTTTTTTTTGTTGTTGTTTACCATTAGTTCAGTCGAGGTCGGCGACTCCGGGACTGAAATGATCCAAATTATTAAATCCAGTGAAGGTGTGTGGAGTTTAAAAACGCAGTGGAACGCTTTTTGTATCACCACATGATGACATCACAAGGTGGATCAGAGCGTTTAGAGCTTTGGAGATGTGGACAGTCTAAAAATAAAGAGTTACTCAAACGTGTGAATGAAACGAAACACAACTGCAGCTCTGTTTTTGAGGAGGAAACGGGATCGAAAGCGAAAAAAATAAAACATGATCGAAATATAATATGAGAAGAAAGAAAGTTGATTCATTTTTGAGAAGAACTTGATGTGGTTTTACGTGTGAAACATTTGCGAATGAAAGAAAACACAACCAGGAAATGGCGTAATACGAACTTTTAAAATAATACATCACAAATCAAATTACAATATTTATCAGAAAGAAAGTGTAATTGTGTATTTCCTCGAGCCGGTTCACCTCCCCGTCGCCTCCCGCTCCAAACGTTCCACCTGCAGAGAGTCTCAGCCCAACAACTCCAAGAATTTCCATCAAGATCTGCGAGAGTGTTGTAATCATCGCCCAAAACGCTGTTGTAATGTTAGCTCTGAAAATACCAGATGAACACGCAGATAAACAAACAGTTGGAGCTCCAGCGGCGGGTCGGACATCTTTAAGTGGTACCACCTGTTTGGAACTCGAGCCGTTCCCGTAATTCACAAAATAATCTACGGAATGAAGATAAGCTGTCAGCGTCCGAGCCCGCGGGAAAGTCCGATACCGCAGATCCTCTTTACGGCGCGGAAAGACGAACCTCGAGATGTTTCAGGGACCGGACGAGGATCTGATGGACGAAGACGGGAAATGGAAGGAAGATAATTCGCTCCGTCAGATTTAGAATTTTAAATATTCACAAGAAAGCTCATTATGTTAAATATGAAAAAAGAAGAAGTGGGATTAAATAAGTTTTCTTCTTCCCTCTCCTTTTTGAGCAGATTTTGTTGTTGTTGTTTCTTTTGTTCAAAGTTCAAAATTCACATTATTTTCACTTTCTTCACATGCACTTGGACACACAAAGGAATCTAAATTATGTTTCTCTGCTGCTTGATTATGGAAAAAATCATTGTCACGATTATTTTGGTCATTATTGAAATCACAGTTATTCAAACGATTATTTTTTATCAAATCAAATATTTGTGTAGCACATTTTAAAACAGCCAAAGTTTCCCAAAGTGTCCTGAACGACATTTACGCTGAAATAAAACACACAATAAACAAATCAAGCAGAATAATAATTGAAATAATAATAATAATAATAACAGCAGGAAGGTGCCAAGGTGTTTCTTCAGAACTCTGGGCAAAAGGAGTAAAGCTGCGTTTTGAGCGAGGATTTAAAGTGTTCCAGAGACTCTGCAGTTCTAATGTGCAAAGGAAAAGTTCCACAGAGAAGATCCCGTCTCCTCTGGTCCTCAGCCTGGTCCTGGAGACAAACTGGAGGTGCTGATTCTG